AATATAATTAATATAAAATAAATTAAATAATAAAAAGTAATTAAAAGAATAATAAAAAAATAAAAAAAAGTAATAAAAAATAATGAAAAATAATCAAAAAATAATGAAAAATAATTAAAAATAATAAAATGTAATTAAAAAATAATGAAAAATAAAATAAAATAATAAAATAATTTATTAAAAGTACAAAAATTTCTATTTTAAATTAATTATTTATATTTGATTAATATTTTAAAAATATATAATTAATTTTTAAATTTAAAAATTATTTTTAAAATTTTATATATATAAGATAAAATAATATATTTTATAAATAAAAATATTATAATAAAGTTATTATATTTAATATTATTTTTTTTAATTTATTTTTAAATAATAAATAAATATATAAAAAATATATTTATATATATTTATTTCTTGATTAAAAGCAAGTTATAAAAACAAATTTTTAAAAAAATTATTTAAATATATAAATTAATATTAAATTAATTTATTTAAAACTAATTATTTTTAATTAATCTTTTAAACTGTTTTCAAATATATGTAATAAGCAAATATATAAAATATATTTTTTTATATATCTATTTAGTACTTAAAAATAATTAAAAAGCTAATATTAAAATAATTAACTTTAAGTAAACTAATTTAATCAATGATAAATTGATTAGTTTAATATTAATTTATTTATTTAATTTATTTTTAAGTACTAAACAAATATATAAATGAATATACTTTATATATATATTTATTAATTACTTAAAAGCAAATTAAAAAGATTATAATAGCTTCACTATAATATCTCCTTTTTTAAAAATTAATATTTCGAATATTATATATAAATACTTAGTTTTTCTCTTTATTATTAGTTAAATTATATTAAACTTAAACAAAATTGAGTATTGATATACTTTTTGTTATAATAAATATATTATTTGTAAAAAATTTTTCTAATTATAATTTAGAATGCTTGCCAAAATTTCTTCAAAAATATTTTAATGGAATTTTGACAATTTATATACTAATTGTTAATTAGTATTTTGACAGAATTCAAAATTTGATAGAATTTAAACAATTATTAAGAGATTTTGGCAAACATTCTTAATTACAATATTAACTTATTTTTATCTTATATTTTTAATATTAATATTTGAGACCTATCAGAATATGATTATTCAATAATTAAAGATTTACTACATCATCCACTATAGGTTGAATTATCTTATTTCTTTTTCATAGATCAACAATTTTTCATGCTTAGATTTGTAAGTTTTGGCCTTTTAGATATCACTATAAAATGATTGTTTAAAAAATTACTTCTGAAAGTAAAAAGATCAAAGAATTTGAATGCTTGACGGATGCACAAAAGTTTGCACTTTAAATAACTCGAAAAAATGATTATAAAAATGTTCTGTATATTTTCTAAAAATAGAAAGCTATTAAAAAAAGTGTTACACGATGAAATTGGATACATACATACATGGATGGATATACATACGTATTACAATTGGAATTTAAAGTTATCATTTCATCATATGGTTGAAGTTGCAAAGATTTTTGAAAAGGTTTTATTTACGTATAGTTACAACTCTCTACAAGCATACCTTTTCCCAGTTTCAGCTATTATCGTTATGAAGTGTAGGAAATTTGTTTTTCATAGTCAAACGCAATTCGACTGTACATATTTTGTAATTCTACCAGAAGTAATTTCGTTTGATTTTTTGCTTTGCAAATGAAATTATCGATATGCACATATCTGTTATTCAATATTTAGCGAAGTACATTGTCAATAAGGATTTCGGCAGCTTGTAATATTTTATTAAAAATACTAGAACCTATACGAAGTAATTAAAGAAAAGTGACAACGGTATTTCATAGTCGAAGCACCGTATAGCGGATAATTTGGCTATTACGGGCCAATACTAATGAATTTTGTTATCAAATACTTTTTAAGCATTTCTTAGTTTTGAATAAATCGTTATATACAAAACAATGTTAGCCTCCAATGACTAAAGTTTATTATAAACATAACTGAGTGAATTTAGTAAATATTAGTTTCATAAAAGTGAATTCTCAACTAGCAATTTTCTATACTGTACACCGATAATCCGTTATGACGATGACTAATCAAACTTTCGATATAACGATAACGATAACGATAGCGATGTTTTATTAATCTCGATGTTTGACTGTATTCATGATACCAATCCGCGAAAACATCTGTTGAGCGCAGAGTCTTCACGGTGATTTGCATGCGGGAAAAACTTGCGGTCCGCAGCAATGGACCACGACTAATTTTTATACCGATAAAATAAAATTGTTGATAAGATTATCCAAACCAAAATAACTTTAAATTTGAGCAACATCAATTTCATTAAAGTTTCGATGTTCAGTCTCTCGATATACATTGATATCCACTTCCGAATTTCGCCACCGAATAATGTACACATGACCAAATTTGTTTGATTGGTTTTTGACTCATGAAACACATTACATGTAGAACAAATAGAATTTCAAATGCTTATATTTGCATTAAAAATGTTTGACATAGCGATAGATGATATGGACGATAAGGTTTCACGAATAAATTATTTTATCTATGCGTATTTTCCGAAGGGAATAACGTAGGATTGTTTGCATTATCAACGCTTGTGTGTCAGGAATATTATAAACGTGTATCGTCAGTCAGAAAACACTGCATTTTCCTGTGTCATCAATCTTACTACTTGATGCATGCCGATACATGCATCTATCTTATCTCTTTTATCAAATACGCCAATTGCATGTACAAAGTTTGTTCAACATTATGGTTGCTAATTCTTTAATAAATAATAGAATTTTCAACATTGGATTATCGTTATAATGTGGTGTGCAATCAAACGCATGCTCTGTTTTCACCGAAATACATGTAAAAGGTTCTCTGGTGACCTGTTACATTAGAATAAAAATAATTAATAAACATCAAATATTTGCATGTAAACATTAGATGTGCATGTATGGTTCACAAGAGGTAACAAAAAAACCGGTTACTGGTGAAAGGAAACCAAGATTAAGAAATAAAATATAAACGTACGAGATTCTTGGCACTTTTTTATTCACTTTCTCGCTTGACACGTATCAACTACATACCACACTCACTTGCTCATCTGACACTCTTTCATTTATAATTTAACTATTTCGAAAAATATTTAATCCCCTCCTTGTATATTTTTGTTTATAATTACCGATCTTACTTGTATAAAATTATATTGTGCTTTCGAATAGAATAACGTAAATAGACGGAATTTACATTAAAATAAACGATAGAATATAAAACACAATTGTAAAAAACTCTAAAAAAACTACATTCAAATGTCTACAGAAAGCATAGCACTTGGAACCCCTATATTTGCATTATCCAATCCAATGATGTCTCATGCAATTCCCATGAAAAATACGGATATTTTTACGCTTTTAGAAAACTCCAGTGAAACGAGTCTTATTAGTGTTAATTCCCTTAGTAATAATTCTTTTAATACACCGGCGGTAAAAACCGGTCCACTTTTCTCGCACAAACCACGAGTTGAGATAAAGGTGGATTTACCGAGTGATGATGAAAACGACGATGACTTGTCAAGTCCAGTCTTGGTAGCACGTCGACAAGCTGAAATCGAGGCGATTTCACAAGTTGAGACTGATGCAGACGAATCGCATATAGAAGAAAATTTGACGAATCGAAAAGAGCCGAATCACATGATAATGAAGCATATTTGGAAATCGAATTATTCAGCTCCTATTAAAATGCAACTATTCGAAGGCGGATTAAAAGTTTTAGATGTTGGGTAATTATTATTCATTGATGCTTAAAGGCTGGAACCGGTTCAGTATAACCAGTTTAAACCGTCAGATTGTAACACAAAACCGGGTCTAATTTTTTAATGTTTGTCTAATAATCAACCGGTTCCAACACAAATCAATGGTTTATTTAATATCGATATTAACGTTAATCACAAATCATAATCAAATGTAGATGTGGAACAGGAATATGGTTAGATGAAATGGCCGCCGAAAATCCCAGATCGACATTCACCGGGATGGATGTTAATTCATCACTCTTTAAATTAGAAAATAAAAATGGGAATGCCGGATTTTTTGTATATAACCTTTTGGATGGCTTGCCTTTTGGGGGTAAGTACATGATTTCTTTGTAGCATGGATTAGTAGCATTTATTAATGGCATTTATTGTTATGTTATTTAAGATAACACATTTGACTACATTCATCAATCATTTCTAAATCTTTACTTGACCGAAAAACAATGGAAAGAAACGGTAATCAAAGAGTTGGTTCGTGTATGTAAACCTGGTGGCTATATTGAGCTTATCGAAAGTGATCTTCAGTATATTAATGCTGGTGAAACGACACATAATTTAAATCGATCCTGTAAGTATCATTGAAACAGTATTGATATTTAGCGAAATGGAAACATTGACTAAGCTTTATCAAAAATAAAACGTTTTAGTTCGTTCAGCATATAAACGACGAGGTATAAATCCAGTAATGTGCGGTCATCTTATACGGTTACTTGAAGAAACAAACGTTATGACTAATGTCACAATAGAAGAGCGACATATTCCATTAGGTAGCCGGAAAGGATCAATTAGTAAAATGGTATTTATTCTAATACATTTCTCGATTAACATCATTTTAATAAACATTGATGTATTTTCTTTAAAAGGCAACTGAAGGAATAATTAAATCACTATATTCTGCTCGAAATGTTCTTTCTCGTCTAATGAAAATCACTCCCGAAGAATACGACAAATTATGCAAAACGATTGGTGAAGAGTACGACGAAAATAAAACAAAGATACCAACATGTCGTATTTTGGGACAAAAAATCTCGGATAATCATGCAATATAATTTTTGTCATCGAGTAATGATAGAAAACGACCACATATATATTTATTCTTTGTATTTAATTTATAAATTTTGTTAATACTTTTTGCACGCGTAGCACATATGATAATCGCCTTTTTTACATGTAAAAATTTAACCTTGTAAACTTTTTATATTATAGATATACAAAATCATATTTGCACTGAATGTACGCGATTCAGTTAACTCATAACTTATCCACGTAACAATCAATAAGAAATAGAGGATTATTTATTATAATTTATAGTATACAGTCCGCACGGAAAGTAATGGCGGACCTTTTTTTGGTTGTATGCATCTGCTGAGATGCACGCAAGACATAATAAGCCACCTGCAAATTCGTGCTGACCTATGCTATATCTCCTATTTATCTGCTGCTGGTACGCAAGAATTCGCCTTCTCTATCAACACAAAACTCCAAAAATTCGGACCCTGAGGCCTCGAAAGACTTTTTGCCAAGTCTCACACCAATTCTGCAACAATTTCTTAAATGAATCATTTCTGTGAATGATATACGTAACGGACTTTTTGGTTATCCATCTAAAGCCTCTTTAAAAAATTTTTGTGGCGCAATATACAAAATGCATTTTGATATGCAACAAAAGCAGAACATGCTGCTAATGGAAGAGACGTGTGAGTATATTTCTGAAAACGGTGGTTCTTAGGTGCATCACCTATATGCCAATTTGCATTCAAACCTGCATTGATGCAGAGGGAGGGCATATTGAATCCTGATACTTCAGGGATATAAAGCCCTGCTTATAGGCGTTCTGAAAATAAATTTTCTATTATTTTTTATTTTTTTAAAAACTGTCCGCCATTACTTCCCGTGCGGACTGTATAGTTATAGTCAAAAGTAATGGTAATGAGTTGTTTTAAAAATGAGAAAATTCTCAATAAATAATTATTACTTCTGAAATGCCTTTGAGCAAACCAGCATACTTTCTCATGTTAGAAATTCGATATTCTTGTGAACATACACAAATAGAAAGAAGTAACACGATAATATTATTTGACGTGTGAATCCCATTTGTTCTTCATGATTTCTAAATGTTATTATGTAATTGTATACAAAACTACATGTGGGTTAAGTGCAATAGAAACGGTGTAAATTATATTATAAATTCTAATACAATTTACACCGTTTCTATTGCACTCAGCCCAT